AGACAGAGACAGAGAGAAATGCAGAGACAAGGCAGAGAGAGAATATGACGAGAGAAATGGAGAGGTCAAGAGACACAGTGACGGAGAGAATAGGAAAGCAAGAGAGTGAGGCAGAGAGACCACGACAGGAACAGGGGGTCACAGAGAGAGAGGCACACACTCAGGGACCAAGAGACCCAAAGGGACAGAAATACAGAGGTGGGGAGACCACAAGGCAGAGGCCCACAGAGAGGGCCCTGGAAGAAGCAGCAAGAGGGAAGGAGGAACAGACTCAGGGACATGAAGAAATAAATACAGAGATACTAGGAACCAGAGACACTAAGAAACAGAGAGACAGAGATTCCCAGAGAGACCTCAAACAGAGAGAAACACGGAGCAATGGAGACACCGAGGGGGCAGTGACAGCGATGACCACCCGCCTAACGACAACTATCTCCTTTTCCTAAATCCCCTCCAGGGCCTTCTGTTGTCCTCAGGACACTGTCCTGGCTTGCCAGATTCTCAAGGTCTGACCCCTGCTGACTGCTGACTGACAGGCCCTCTTCCCATCCCGCCCACGCTGGGGGTTCCAGGCCCAACAAGCCTCATGCCCCTCCTGCCTCAGGGCCCATACACAACCTTTTCTCGCCCCCTTCCCACCTCACTCCTCTCCCTACTGTAGTTCCTAGTCAGTGGTCAGCCCAGACAGAACATTCTACCTGCTCTCTGACCCCAGGCCTTTCCCTGCAGGCATTGCCTTCAGCCGTGATGAACCCTGGGGAACTCTGAGGAGGTTTACCTTGACCGCTCTCCGGGACCTGGGCCTGGGCAGGCGGAACCTGGAAGATCGGATCCAGGAGGAGGTGGGCTGCCTGGAGGAGGAGCTGGAGAAGTCACGTGGTGAGAGCCAGGGGTCAGTGGTGGGTCAGAGGTTTGTGTGTGCGTGTGTGTGTGTGTGTGTGTGAGCACAAGTGTGTGTGCACACATGCATGGATCAAGCCCAGACTAGTCCAAGCCCGGCTCCTCTCACCCCATGACCTTGGACAAGCCCCTTCCCCTCTCTGAGCATTCAGTTCCTCATCACTATCAAGGCCAGTTGGAGTCAATCAGCATTGTTCAGCTGGTGGTACCAACCCTCCAGGACCTCCGGAAAGTGTCCTGGGTGCTCCTGTCCTTAAAGACAGTACTAGCATTTGCACCATTCCTTTTCCTTAATCAACCAATACACTAACAAATTACACATATTAAATGTAAGGCCCTTGAGAGCCTCTGAGGGCAGAGCTTCTGCTACCCTATATGGTGCCCTCTGTGAATTAGAAAAAGTACCCCTCTCTCAAGACACCTGACTACCATCTGCCAGAGAGTTGTCATAATAGATATAAAATCCAGGTGTCTACAATGGACTTGATGCCCCTTAGATGCTGCACCTTTGTGCAGTGCACAACCTGTACAAACTTCCTGATGTAATTCCTCAGGGCCTTCACCCGGGCCAAACTCTTGGCCTGGAATGTGCTTTCCCCTTTCTCAGCTTAGCTAACTACTACTCCTGCTACTACTCAGGTCTCAGCCCAGACAACCACTCCTCCAGGAAGCCTGCACTGACCACTACTCCTCCACCCCTCTCAAGACAGGATCAAGAACCTCCTCTGGGTTCCCAAGGGCCCTGTGCTTCTCCCATCGCAGCACTGACTCCTCTGGTCCTCAGAAAAGCCCAGAGGATGCTCTTGACCAAGACAAAAAGGAAGGTTTAGAGAAGGCTTTCTGGAGATGTCTGAGCTGACACTTGATGAGTAGCAGTTAGTCAGTTTAGGGAGACAAAAGAAGAGCAGGAGAAAGCGCATGGGCAAAGATCCAGAGATGAGAGTTAGGTGCCCTGGAGAAACCCGAAAAAGTTCCATTTTTCTGGAGCCTATAGAGTGGGAGGAAGTGGTAAGAAGCAAGGCTGGAATGACCAGGAGGGGCCAGACCATGTGAGGTCCTTTTGTTCACATTAAGAATTTGAACTCTGTCTTGAGGGCACTGGGGAGCCATGGAATGATTTTGATTAGGGCAGTAACATGATCAGATGGGTTCTTGGAAGAGATTGCTCTGGCTGCCATGTAAAGGGTGGGCTGGGGCCCATCCTGGTGGCTGGGAGAACAGTTGACCCCTCCTGGCCTTGGCACAGGCACACCCTTTGACCCCACCTTCCTGATTCACTGTTCCATCTCCAATATCATCTGCTCTGTGGTCTTTGGCCATCGTTTTCACTGCCAGGATGAGGACTTCAAGACTTTTCTAGGATTGCTGGCTGAAAACCTGAAGAGAGTGGACACATTTTGGGTGCAGGTACCTGAAGACCACCTGCCCCACCAAGTCCCAAGCCCAAGACTCCAAGGTCCCATCATGTGATTCAAATGTCCCCCATGAACCATTATGTTGTGTCCAGCTCTTTGCTGGGTACTGGAGACACCGCAGGGGACAAGACAGCCCCAGCCTTGTCCTCATGGAGTTCACAGTCCAGTAGGGTAGACAGACCCGTCTCCAGACACTGATGACCCAGCGTGGTCAGGGCCATGACAAATTTAACAGTCATTCAATCAATGTTCACTGAACCCACTACTCCATTCCAGCCTGTGCTGTGTGATGCTGAGGACACAAGAGTGACCAGGACAGCCCTGGGACCTGTCCTCACAGAGCTCTCAATCCAGAGGGAGAGATGGACTAGTTACAAGACAGTGACAGCTCAGAATGAACAGTGCTGGGATGAGAAGGCACAGGCAGAGGGGTCAGGGCCGGGTCAGGAGGCACAGGCAGAGGGGTCAAGGACAAAATGAGGGGACGTAGGCACAGGGGTCAGGGCCAGGGTGAGAAGCACAGGCAGAGGGGTCAGCACCAAAATTGGGGGGTGGGGGGCATAGGCAGAAGGGTCAGAGCTGAAGCTAAGCCTGCTGTGGCAGCACAGAGGCAGTGCCTGTCACAGTCTGGAGGTCAGGGAAGGCTTTCTGGAGGAGATTACATCCAACTAGAGACCTAAGTGATGAACAGGAGCAAACCAGCAAAACTGAGAGGAAGGACGGGGAATAGTATTTAAGGCAGAGGAACAGCAGGTGCCAAGACACTTTCTCTCCAGGGCCTGTTTCTCACCAGAGAGCTATGCCTTTTCCCTGCTCTGCTGAGGCACCCTCCTGGTACACACAACCAGCTCTTTGAGGTCTTCAAGAAGCGGAAGGCGTTTGTGGCCCCAGTGGTGAGGGAGCATGAGATCTCTCTGGACACGGCTCAGCCCCGGGACTTCATCAATGCCTTCCTCATTGGCATGCAGCAGGTGAGACTTGGAGCAAGAGCCATTCCATTCTGGGATCTGTGGGGGCTGAGGGTCTTGGAGCATCCTTGGATGGACTCAAGAGATCTGAGTTCCAAATCCCCCACTCTGCCTTTTGGTTTACTGTGTGACCAGGTACAATTTTCTCCGCATCTCTGGTCTCAGGTTTTCTATCAGTAAAATCAATGTACTGATAGGGGAGCCTTTGGTCTAGATCTGGAACTATAAGTAGGCTTCACCTCGTGTGTCAACTTTATTCATTTGATAATGGGGGTCTGAGAAGGATTTCGAGGTTTAGTGCCAAAGAATGCTGGGATTGATTGGTGTTGCCTGCTGTGGACAAAGAGTAAGGAAGTGGAAGTATAATAAGGAGTATTTGCCATCCCTGGTCTGGTTAGATGGTCTCTGTTGGCTCCTCTCTAATTCTGACATTCTGTGTCTTTGTATGCAGGAGCAAGGGGACCCCCACACAGAATTCAACCAAGAGAATTTGCTCAATTCTATTCTAGACACCTTTTTTGCCAGGATGGAGACAACTAGCACCACCCTCAGATATGGGCTCCTGATCCTCCTGAAGTCCCACAGGACACAGGTTAGGACCAGCCTCTTCTATTCTCAGCCTGATGTCTTCAAGCTGGGTACAAGGACCAAGGACTCATAACACATTGCTGAGGGGAGAGGACCCATTATGGAGGGTGAAAGGTGACTGCCGTTAATGCGATCCTGGGCTTGAAGTCTGGGAAGTTGAGGGTGGGGGTAGGTGCCCAGGGAGACGAGCCTTCCCATGTCAGAACTTTCTTTTTCCCACCCTTTTCTGAATGGAGCAGAACTTATACAGCAGGAGATTGACCAACTGGTGGGGCCAAAGAGAGGGCCCTGCCTGGGGGACAGGGCCCGGATGCTGTACACAGATGCCATCCTCCATGAGATCCTGAGGTTTGCAGCCATCGTACCTCTGGCCGTGCCCCATGCTGTCACCCAGGACACCCAGTTCTGGGGACACCACATCCCCAAGGTACAGGCTGAGTATGGGTCCTCTGGGGTCAGCTGGTGTTTCAGGTGTCCTAGATAGAGCTGCAAGACTGGACCTCTCAGGATTGGGTTTCCGGGTCCTTCCTTAGCCTGATCCCCACCCCACCTCCCTCAACCCAAGCAGGGCTGGGATTGCCAGCTCCCCGATGGAGCACCAAAGTGCAACAGTTGAGAATCAGGGCTCTGAAGTCTAGAATTCCTCCACCTCCACTTCACAGTTGTGCAACTCTGGGCAAGTGACAACCTTTCTGAGCCTCAGTCTCTTCTTCTCTACTATGGACATAATAATACTATCTACACTATGTGGTTGTGAGGATCCAGTGGGTTGTTGGTACATAGTAAATGCTCAAAAGTTTTAACTATTTTGATTATTATTGCAACCAGATGTCTATTGTCAACACCAAAACCAGAATGGCCTTATAAAACCTGTTAGGTCACATCCCTCCTTTGCTTAAAACTCTCCCATGGCTCGCATCTCACTCTGAGTAAAAACCAAATGACCCACGAGACCCCGCATGATCTGGCCCCCAGCCCCCCCTCTCTGAGCTCATCTCCCACACTCTCTTGCCAGCTCACTCAAGCACACTTGGCCTCCTCATTATCCCTGCATATTCCAGGGCCTCTCTCACCTCAGGGCCTTTGCACTGGCTGTACCTTCTGCCTGGAATGCCCTTCCCTCAGAGATCCTCATGACTCCCTCCCTCCTATCCTTCAGAACTTGCTCAGAAGTCACCTTCTCAAGGAGGCCTTCCTTGGCCCCCAAATGAACAACTGGTTGCACAGTTTATAGGAAAGTGTCTGTTTGGTTTGGTCTGAGTGGAAATTTGTGTCTGTCAGGGGAAGGTGTGCTGGAGATGTCACCATGAAGGAGAGAGGGGATCCTGAGAAGGAGAGAGCTTGGCCCTCGAATTGCCTAGAGAGAGAAGTCCACCTCTTTCTCTACCCTTACCATCCATGAGCACAGAGTGTCTTGGGTTGGGTGCCTAGAAACAGACTCTGAGATGGAGATGTTGCTTGCAGGAGGTTCCCTGGGGAGGCCTCTAGGGAGCAACACCTGTGGGGAGCTGGGGCAGTAGGATGGGGCAGCGGGTGGCAGTGGATTGTGACACAGCTGCACAGATGACCCAGTCAGTCCCACAGGGAGCTCTGGGGCTACGGTGCCCCACAGAACTGTGCCAATTGAAGTGAGGGGCTGGCTTTATACTCCTGCATCAACCAGTGGTTGGATGTGGCTTTCCTTGAGGAGAAGCCCCCAGTTGAGGGAGGTAGCTCCCTTTGGCCAAAGGCAATTCTTAGAAAGGGAGCAGTTCTGAGCCGTTAGCAGCAGAAAATCCCAGGATCTGGGAGTGAGTGTCAGTCATGAAGGAGGTCTCTGCAGCCACCAGAGTGTCCAGAACACGTGGCAGGACACCAGTGGGTGTCCAGCCATCTCTAAGTATTCAGCAGTGTTAGATCAAGCAAACAACTGCCAAATCAAGCATGCCTTGCCCTCCTTCCCAGGCAAAGAGACCTTCCCAACGGCCTGGAAAGCAAGATTTGACCTGAATATTCTCAGAACTCCTCAAAGGAATGTAACAGCTCAGGGAGAGCTTGCCCGGGCCCCAGGCCCCTGGCCCACCTCCCTTTCCTTACCGCTTCCAGCTCTATCCTGTACCTTGAGGGGTCTCCCACATGTGTGCAGACACCCAGCCCACATGTGCAAAGCTCCATCCACACCCATATCCACTGACCATCCCTCAGACCTAGGTGTGCACACACCAGGGGCACGGGCTGCCCTTGGAGGGTGGACCTAGAGGAGAGGCCCCTCAGGCTTTGGACATGGACTTGAGGCCATTGGAGAGAGAATCTGGAGTCCCAGGTGTGCAACGGGAAGCCCAGAGCAGGATCATGGGCTCCAGGAAAGCAGGAACCCTCAACCCACAGGTTCCTCCCCTCATTTCATGGACATAGTGGGAGGAGGGTCAGAGGGCCTGGATCTGTTTCTTCTTTTTCTTCCTTTTTTCTTCTTTTTTTAAAATTGTGCTAAAATACACACAACACAAAATTTGCCATTTTAGCTATTTTTAAGTGTGCAGTTCAGAAGTGCTAAGAAGATCCACATTGTTGTGCAACCAGTCTCCAGAAGTCTTTTCATTTTTCACAACTGAAACTCTGTCCCCAGTAAACAACAACTCCCCATTCCCCCTCCCCCGGCCCCTGGCAACCACCATTCTGCTTTCTGTCTCTATGAATCTGATTACTCTAGGAACCTCATATAAGAGGAATCATACAGTATTTGTCCTGTTATGACTGGCTTATTTCATTTAGCAAAATGTCCTCAAGGTTCGTCCATGTTGTAACATGTGTCAGAATTTCCTTCCTTTTTAAGGTTGAATAATATTCCATTGTATGGATCTACCTATTTTGCGTATCCATTCATCTGTTGGTGGACAATTGGGTTGCTTCTATCTTTTGCCCATTGTGAATAATGCTGCTACGAACATAGGTGTGCAACTACCTCTTCAAGTCCCTGCTTTCACTTCTTTTGAGTATATACCCAGGGGGGATCTATTTCTGAGAAGTTCACTCAGACACCCTCTCCAGGCCTGAATTGCAGCAGAAATATCAGGCTCCAATGACTACCGTTTTGCCCTGAATCTGAGGGTGAGTGTGCCTGCATACACGGGCCTTCTGTGATGCAGAGTTGGGGATTTTTCCTCCTCCTCCAATATCAAAGGTGAGTGGTACCAGGAAGGAGAGAGTCTTGCCAAGGGAGTGCCTTGGTCCTCAGCAGCCTGAAAGTTCCCAAATGCCCTTAGTGTTGGCTGGATATTTGCTTATTTGCTTGAATTGACAGCAAAAGCACCCTTAGGCAGAGAAGCTAAGATGTCTATGACATGCTCAAAAGCCGTCGAAACAGCTAGAGATGATCTAAAATAGGTGAACGTCTTCACAAGGGGCTGAAATCTGCTTTTGTCGTCAGAAGTGATATAAATAAAACCAGGACAGCCACTAGCCCTTATCATGCACCTTTGTGAGAATAAAAAAGGCACTTTCTCTGGACAAGTGGCCTGTTGAATGCGTGGTATGAAGAGAAAGGGCTCTTCTCAGATTTCAGTCCCGCTGTGCAAGGCACAACCTTTGTGACCTTGTGTGGTAGCCCTGAGTAATAATAATAACCATTTATCAAAGGCTTATTATGTACCAAGTGATTTTCACTATTTCATTGACTCCTCTGAATAGATATTATTATTATTATGCCCATTTTGCAGATGGAAATATTGAGGTTCAGAGAGAAGTCACTTGGCCAGTCACTCAGCTGGGAAGTGACAGCTAGTGAGCCCAGGTCTGCTGACCCTAGAGACCACAGTCTCCCCACCCTGCTGTTCCCCAGGGCTGGCTAGTCCAGGGAGGTTTGGGCCAATGTGCCAGAAACACCCATCTGGGTGCTCTCCTGGGTGGTCAGCCATGAACATCTGGACTGACTCCTTCCACAGGGCACCACGGTGTTCCCACTGTTCCACTCTGTCCTCCACAACTCTGACCAGTTCCAAGACCCCGCCTCCTTCCAGCCCAAGAGGTTCCTGGAGGCCAACAGAGCTTTTCGGAAGTGCCCTGCCTTTCTGCCCTTCTCTGCAGGTCAATATCCATGCTCTTGTCCAGGCGAGGGGCTGCTGTGTGGCTCCAGGGAGGATGCTTTCTCTCTCTGCACCTCCTCCTTTAGCATAAGCAAGTGGTTTTCTGATTGCTGGTTTGGAAGACAGATGCTACAGGCCAGGCTCAGATAAGGTGGGTGGTAGGGAACGCAGATACACCCCCACTACAGTTAATCCAGAGATTAATCCTCACTCAGGAACTGTAGATTGTGCCAGTCTTGTGAAAAACACCAAAAAAAGTCTTTAAAAAATTTCCACTTCCTAAAAATAATTAAAAATAAGTATAATCCTCTAATTTCTAGAGAAAATAAATAGCACATTTAGTCCAAAATAATAAATACCTTTTAAATGATCATTTTTGTTATAGTTTTCTAAAAATTAGCTAAGCAAACACTGGCTAATAGTTTTATTTAAACTAGTTTTTAATTACGTATATATAATGCAAACACCTGGTAAAAAATAAATCAAGCAGAAAAAGAGTATAAAGTGATCCTATTCCTCCTCGATTCTATTCCCTAGATTGTATGTCCTACAACCTAGAGATAAATATGGTTAATGGTTTCTTGAGTATCCTTCTAGAGTTTGTCTAAGTAAATGCAAGTACAAATATGAATATACACATACGTTTTTACAAAAATAATCTTAGAGTCCCATTGTGGACTTTTATTTTTTTCATTTAACCATCTCTCTTGGACGTTGCTCCATTGTGGCATGTAGAGTTCTGACTCTTCTTAATGGCTGTGTGACATTCCAGGGTTGATGGACCATAATTTTTTCACTCATTCCCATACTGACAGGCATGTGGATTATTTCCAGTTTTTCACTTTGCTCCAATGTACATTATTCTGCATGGGTCTTGGGCCCCATCTGAGAGTACTGCTGAAGGAGCAAACTCCTGGGTCACATACATTCATTTAAGAAGCTCCTGCCTGATTTTATGGGCTAAGACTGAAGGACAGAAGGACGCAGACCCTATGATGATCTAAAGCAGGGCTAATCCATGGTATCCCGTCTGACTTTGCAGGATATTGGAAACATGGCTGATTGCACGGTCTTTTAAAGCCAGGGCACTTCAAATATGGTCACCCTGGGAAGATACTGGAAGTGCCACAGTCTTTCTCCTCCTCAGACCAAGGGGCAGCTTCATTTCTCAGATGGCGCTGCCCCCACTTTCTAAGATGACCATCTGGGATATACCTGCCCACACAGGTGAACAAGAGCACAGGGCTTCTTGGCTTATGGGAGAATGCAGGTATATGTTCAAGAAGGAAATCAGAAAAGATTTAGCTGAAATCATACACTCTTAAATCCTCGGTGGCTCAGACAGTAGCTCAGAGGTCTTCCACCTCCCTGTCTCGCTCTAGGTCTCCTCTCATCTCTGATCTGTCCCTCCCACCCCTTTTCTCTGCTCCCCCCTCCTCATGTCTGCTCCCTATCTCCCACCTTCCCACTGCCTCCCTCAGCCCTGCACCTGCAGCCCCAGGATGGTGGCCTCGGGAAGCAGCTGCCACCTTTCCAGCTCATCCTGCAACCGCGACAGCTCCTACAGAGCTAAGCCCTCCTCCCACCCTGACCGCCCATCCCCCATCCATGACCTGGTGCCTTCCTTCCATTGTCTGGCCTCTGTTTCCCTACATGCACAACATGGAGGCTTTCCAGGGTCCACAATAGGCTCTGCAGTCTGACACCTTGATTTGGGACTTGTCTCTTTCATTGTTGCATCCCCAGCTCCCAGAACAGCATCTGGCACACAGTAGATGCTCCATAAACATTTGCTGAATGAATGAGTTTCTTTTTTTTTTTTTTTTCTTTGGCTGAGGAAGATTCACCATGAGCTAACATCCCTTGCCAATCTTCTTCTTTTTTTGCTTGAGGAAGATTAGCTCTGAGCTAACATCTGTGCCAATCTTCCCCTACTTTATATGTGGGGCCCACCACAGCATGGCTGGTGAGTGGAGTGGGACTGTGCCCAGGATCCGAATCCGCGAACCCAGGCCACTGAAGCAGAGCACACAGAACTTTAACCACTCAGCCACAGGGCTGGGCTCAAATGAGTTTCTTTAATAAATCCCTGCTCTGACACGTACTCTCCTGTGTGACCTTGGCCAAGTGATGTCCCCTCTATGGCCTCAGTTTCCTCATCTGTACAATGAAATGTAGGGGAGGAAGACAATTCCTCTACCTTCTAGGTCCTCTTGGGTGGTCTAAGAATTAAATTGACATGAGACAGAATGACAGGAGAAAATCAAACAAAGCTTTATAACATGTATGCATGGGAGAAACACGGGAAAACTGAGTAACTCACCAGAATGGCCAAGGTCACCACCTTAAATACCATTTTCAGCTAAAGACATAGGAGGATGTTGGAGGTAGTGGTTTGAGATTTCAAGGGGGAGGAAGGCAATTTACATGGAGATGGAAATGCAAATGGGCCAACTATAGACAATGTGACTTGAAAGACACATTTTACACTACATTACAGTTATTTTATGATATTAGCTCTTTCCTAGAACAGGCCCTTCTATTTTAAATTCTTTTAGGCAGTTATGGAGTCTTTTGTTCTTAAAACTAATCAAGCCAAAGAGATACATTTTGGGGTGGCCAATTCCAATCCCCCACAGTCCTGCCTTTGAAACTTGAAGAAGTTTCATAAGTCCTTTGAAGCTTGAAGAAGTTTCATAGTCCAGAAGCTGAGTTGGTAGATTGTTTCATCTCACTGAACACATTTCTTAGTCCTGGTAATAGATCAGTCCACTTAAATTTATTTCAGAAGGTGGTGATGCAGGTGGGCTCCAAAGCTAGGTCTATATTGTGTAAGCAAGCAATCAAGTATTTAATTTAATAAGAAGCATTTCTATGGAAACAAAAAGAAAAACAAGGTTAACAGTTGGAGCAAATTATAAACCAGTTTTTGAGCCCAAGGGACAGTCAGTCAAAAAGATGTCTACATGTCAGGGTCAAAACATCTTTTGCAGCTTGAAATGTCTCTGATGATGTCATCTGTTGTTCAGCTATCCTTTTGAGTGGCTTGCATAGCAACAGGCATGCTATTGTGGTGACCTCTCAAGTTTATATCAAGTTATCCAGCTTTAGTTTGCAGGGCTCCAGGAAAAAGGGTGGTTTCAGTTCTCAATGATTCCAAATGAAAATGATGAAAAAAATTGAAGATGTTAGCTTGGAGATTTGTAGCCAGATATTTCAGGAGACTATAAGAATTCAGGATCCAGCCCAGTTTACAGGTAGAAAACAAAAACCTCAAAGACAATTAAGAGAACTAGACTCCAATATCCACAATCGTGTATAACATATTTTTTACTGAGACATAATTTTTCTGTCTAAAATCACCCTCATTTTTACCAAAGAGAGCCAAATTAAGACTAACTGGTTTGCAAAATAAGTCTAGTTCCAATAAATTTGGCCCAATTATTTACATAAGTACAGTAAGAATAGCAATTGATCATATAGGCTAATTTAAATTTGCTTTGCTGGAACTTTTTATAAGGAATCTCAGATTGAACTTTAAAGGCTTCTCAAGGCCAGGAAACCAAAGCCAAGGACTTGACTCTGCCTGCAATACCTCTAGATTTGGGTGAATTCCTCTCTTATCAAGGTCCCCCAAATATTTTGAGGCTCCAGGCACCTGTCAGAGAAGTGATCTTCTTTACTTACCTGGTAAGGTTGCTAGGAACCCTGTAAACAAGATACTAGGCCAATATTTCCAAGTGGCTTTATTCCATAAAGTCCAATCTTTGTTCCTCAAAGGCTGTCTGGTCATATCTGAGTGTATGTACACTTCTCTCAAATATGACATTCTAGTCAAAGTTTGGGTAATATAACTGTTACCGCCCGAGGTGGGTTGTCTGCCCACTGCAAGACATGCCAATAGTCAAGAGGCAAAGTGGAAGGAGAGAAAGGATTTTATTACAGCTTGCTAGCAAGGGGTAGATGGCCAACTAATGTCCAAAAGAGCCATATTACAGAACAAAGACTACAGGCCAGTTGTACAGGGGGCTGGTCTCTGGGTGGGGGAGGCAGCTGGTCTCAGAGTAGTGGCATCCATCTGATTTCCAGGTGGGAGCAGACATCTGGTCTTAGTTCCTGATAATCTTTTGTTTTACTGGAGATGCATCAGAGACCAGAGCAATACCCTATACCCAGATCTTTCAGTTGTCATTAATGATGGCTATCAGCATAGACTCTCTGCCCAGGGGTTATCACATTCCTAAGGAACTCAAAGGAACAAAGTTATTGGGGCTGGCCCCATGGCCAAGTGGTTAAACTTCCATGTGCTCTGCTTCAGTGGCCCAGGTTCACGTGTTCAGATCCTGGGAACAGACCTACACCACTCATCAGCCATGCTGTGGCAGCAACCCACATACAAAATAGAGGAAGACTGGCACAGATGTTAGCTCAGGGCTAACCTTCATCAAGGAAAAAAAGAGGAAGATTGACAACAGATGTTAGCTCAGGGTGAATCTTCCTCAGCAGAAAAAAAAACAGGGAGAACAAAGTTATCGACTTATTGCAGCTGGGAGGGGCCATAAAATCACCAGAGCATGTATTTATTTCTCCTGAAGGGTGCATATCCAGCTAGGTTAGTTAATCAGAGGTCATTCAAAGTTACAATATGGTTTTGTCTACAATATGGCTTCCCTTATGTCAACCTTGTGTTGAGCCAGTATGATAACCAATGTTTCCAACTGTGTCCTGTTATAAGGAGAAAAGATTCTTATTGAACTTATGCAAATAACTATATTGCCTTGAAAATAAGAATATTCACTCTCTAAGAGTTTCCAAATTCTGGAGGGATCAGGTGGGGAGAAAAAGATAAATGTTTCAATTCTGCTTACAAAGGTATAATTTACCCAATTGTTATAAGTCATAGTTAGCTTAAGAGAAAAAAAAAAGGTTTTTTTAAACCTGGAAAAACAAAACATTTAAAAAATCAGCAATATTTCAAATGAAAAGTCACAAAAATTAAAATCATCCTCATCAGTTCATTCAGTCCCATGTAATCAACTCTTTTTTTTTTTTTATTGTGGTTTTTTTTTTTAGTTTTCTATTTCTTTTTTTATTTATTTATTTTTTTTTAATTTTTTGTTTATTGCAGTAACATTGGTTTGATCTTAACATTCTGTTAGCAGTTTCATGAAGTCAGTTTTTCCATTGGAGTTTTGTAATTTCTTACCTGGTTTAGTTTTATGAACTGAAAGTTTATCAGAAACCTATATCCTAGAGTAAGTGTCAGAATAGTTTCCATGAATCTCTCTGAAGATGAAACATTTGCAAAAGCATCAGAGTAAAATAATAACTGTGTAAATGACAAAAGACTTAAAATGGCAGTTGACAAAGAAATTTGGTTATTTCTGTGACATACAACACTTTAAGATAATAACTAAAATTATGACATAACCAGGACAGATCAGAATTTTAGGAATGTTATATAATTTTTAAAACACTTATATCAATAACATTTACCCACATAATATTGTGGGTCACTATGAAACAATGCTTAGTTATACATTTAACCATGGTGTCAATTAAAGATTTTCAGGTGAATGTGGAGAATTAAATAGCTGTAAGGAAAACCTTAGCACCTGTGATTAAAGACCTGATAAAAACAACACAGGAAATTTAATTTGGGAAAACATAAAATCCCTGCCCTTCTGGTAGACTGCTCTAAGTAAAACCTTCTACAATCTCTTTAAGAGCAGAATAGGGGCCGGCCCGGTGGCGCAAGCAGTTAAGTGCGTGCACTCCGCTGTGGCGGCCCAGGGTTCGTGGGTTCGGATCCCGGGCACGCACCGATGCACTGCTTGTCAAGCCATGCTGTGGCAGCGTCCCATATAAAAGTAGAGGAAGATGGGCACGGATGTTAGCTCAGGGCCAATCTTCCTCACACACACAAAAAAAAAATTGGGGCCGGCCCCGTGGCTTAGCGGTTAAGTGCGCATACTCCGCTACTGGTGGCCTGGGTTCGGATCCCGGGCGCGCAC